TAAATTATCCAGCATTCACATAAATCATATAATTAAGAGAGTTTTAGCATTGTAAAATGTTGTCCCATGTACATTGATGTGTATATTGTACATATATATATGCTAAATACTTCCCACTATTGCATGTGTTTTTTTTCCATGCAACAAGACCTAATTGTTAAGGACCTAAAGTATTGTATTCTCATGATATCAAAGCACAATTCTAACTAGGAATCTACTCTCGATCCCAATTATCCGAGCTTGTATGCCACGAAACACAAGCAGCCCCCTCCTCATCTAATCATGGGTCGCCCACCTTAAACTCGCTCACCTCTCCTAATATATCGGCTCTAGCACCTTTTAAATAAACAATATATACGAGCTTTGAATATTTTTCTTAAAGAAGGTTGACCTTGTAAGATTGAATATAAAGTCTTGGGGTTTGTTTGAGCCCCATTTTTTAGAAAGGGTAAATGGCACAAAACCTACTAATCTTTATTGCTATTGTGGAATATCCCATATCCTTTCATTTTGGCAAATATTCCCCTATATGACCTTTTTCATATGGAATACAATATTTTTATCCATTTTCTCAATAAGACCTTGTGAAATGATGAATATATCATCTTTTTTAAATAAAATAAAAAGAAAAGAAGAAGAAAATAAAGAATTAATTGCAATCATAGTCTCAAAGTTTTCAAAAAAGTGTAAACAAGTCCTAAATAATTAAAATTAAATTAAAAGTAAAAAATCTCTCTCTCCCACCTACCCCATCTTCTTCCTCCTCCTTCCACCACCTTGAATCAATTTTTGCATCAATTTGTTCATCATTTTGATGGGGATGCTTGAAATTGAGATTTGCATCTTCAACATCATTGGGATTCTGATCATTGAGCACAAGGTTTTATTGAGAAGATGGAATAAAATGTTGTATTACACACGAAAAAAGTCATATAGAGGGTATTCCGCAAAAATAAAAGAATATGGGGGTACTTTACAATAGGGGCAAAGGTTATGGGGAGATTTTTGCCATTTACATTTTTGGAAAAATAAATTTTGCAACAGTGATTCTTTTAATAATGTGTAGTTAAAAGGTAGAGTAAAGTTTAAAGTTTATGTGAAACTATTTTATTAGACGAATACAATTAAAAAATGAGTTTAGAAATTCATTCTAAAAAAATAGTCAAACATGGACCAAATTCTAATACTATTGTAACATATTATTGGTTCTTCTTTGGGGTTGAAATTCACTTGTTTATGAATGAAAAAGACACACCTTTTCACCAGGTCTGCACTCTACAACAGTGTCCAAAAGTACAAAACCCCAAAGCAAACATTTCTGATTGTCGGATTTTTTTTCCAAAATTCGCAGAAAAAATGTTGGGATCTGACACTGAAATAGAAAACCAAAAGAAATTAAATTTTGCAGTGTCGAAAAGCCAATTATTATCCGACTTCTGAATGCAATAAAGTAGAAATCCTTTTAGCTTTGTGCCTTAGTTTTGTTCTTCTCTTCGTGTCTTTTACTGTGCATTTTAGGCATTTTGTAACGGCATATTAAATCTGTAGGGTGTCTTTTACTAATCCATTTAAACATTTCTTGTTGGGTTTATACCTGCTTTTGCCATTTTCCTCTTGCCCCTATTCGAATTTCTCTTTCTTCCTTGTATCTTTGTCCAGTTTATAGTGCTGCAAAATTCTTGGTGAAGAGAAAACTATTGAATAATCTTTCGAACTTCAAATTAAGGAGTTGTATTTCAGCAGCATATATGTTGGCATACTGATTTTTATTGGATCTAATCTGGACGCTAATCCGCAACTAATTGGTCGAGGCAGTCGAGGAGGCTGGAGGTGTGAAGATGGCTCACATAATGAAACCTCTACTTACAAGTTGTGATGCAAAATTGACATGCTGACGTTACAAAACCTGATTGGCCAATTTGATAAATATTTTGCACGATTTCCGCTTTGCACAGCCTAGTTTTTCATAAAATACATAGTGATTATTTTGGTCCATTCACAACAGTACTTAAAATAGCTACCTTTACAAAAACATTATGGTCCATTCATACCATGATTCCACTCCAATTGGGAGAAAATGTCCCAAGATAAATTGAAAACTTTCTACTATTGAAGCTGATTTTTTCTGCAACTATGTTAACCATATACTTAAATTAATATCACGCGATAACAGAACTGTAGATCAATTGCAAGAGGACAACAAGACACCGGGAAGAAAAGTTCTGAACTCTTAGTCTCTAATAAGCAAACACTAAGCACGCCCAGCCATTCCGACTGTTGAAGCAGCACGATTAGCTTTGTGAGCTGGCTGTGTTGTCGCTTTAGTGAAGTACATGTAGTAATAGATGTTAAGGATCATAGTTGCAACCACGAAGACTGCTCCAGAAATGAATACACCTTTTCGTAATGCATCACAAGAAAAGTTATCTGCATAGACCATATGCCGATATTTGGTGTGATAGGCATTATTCCTTGCACCAGCTATTAGACATGCTTCTGCCACCAGGAATGTCATCCTGCAGAATTTCATTTTTTTTTTTTTTTTAAGAAAAATTTACATGGAACTCTTGACAGAATTTTTACATGTAATTTATGTTGGATCCAGGTGTTGAAACAGACGAAGCGATCCAAAAACTCACCACAGCAAAAAATATAAAGCATTGAAATAAAGAGAACGAAGAAGAAAAAGAGAAAAAAGCAAGACTAAAAATATCAGTAAAGAAGATGGGTGGATAAATATGCAGAGTATCTTACCATGATGATACAAAATATATTATGGTCCAGGCACGGTTACCCCCAGGTGCTAAAGGTCTTCCAAAACACATGCATTTTGTCACACCCATAAGCAATGACTCACTTGAGAGAAGAAACAAGAAAGCCCCCGCTCCATATCCAGTGGCTACATCTGACTCATAAACGCAGTATGTTCGATTGGTGAAGTCATCCTTATGTAGCACTCCCTGCCATACAAGGAAAAAGTTGAAAATGAACAACATGCCTGAAAGAGTTACCAATGTATGAGAATTATGAAATGAAACAATTTCAAAGTACTACAGACTCAGCCGAATCCTGTCCATACCCTCCCCCCCAGCCAAAAAAAATTAAAGGAAAAATAAGAGAACAGGTTCAATTGGTGGCATCGTCAATATTTCTAAATGTAGACTCTGGTTCTGCAGCAGCAGCAGAGTTCAGATTATAGAGACAAGAATTTCAACTAAAATTACTAGCATGCGTCTATCCTTTCTCTTATATAGGCATCGGAAAAAGAACAACACAACAATAACAAGGACAAGGACAAGGACAACAATAATAATATGATCGTAATAACTAGAAAAATAGAAGTTTATTTGCATTGTCTACTTGTAGTGACTTCGATGAACCCAAATCTAAATCTGGATAGTCCTTCTCTCGTATTATTACGTCATGTAGCAAGAAGAATACTCATGTAGCATTAAAGAAGATGGAAGTTGAGTAATTTCTTGCTCAGCAGCAATATACAAGGAGCATCACGGTTTAGAGGTTCCTTGGGCATCCAGATATAGTCACTAACGCTGTGTAGCTAGTGACTATATACTCTTGTGGACAATTTGGGTATGCTTATCTAAGCCAAGGATTGTGGGTATCGTGGAAAATGGCTGGGTTTAGCAAAATGAAGTGGTGAAACATATATCCACAGGCCAAATGATTGTTGATCCAGGACTTGTCAAGGAAGCAAACATAGGGAACCGTTCTCTTTTTGTATTCATCTAGCAAAGGACTTCTACTTTTTCCGAAGGGAAAGATTGCTCTGTGCCATTCATCTTCAAGAATATTGGGGTCAACTGATCATAGATTGCTAAGACAAGAACTTCTCTGAAAGGTTTAATCGGAAAACCAGTCAAACCTAGAGATCAAATCTATCAAGTACAAAAGTCATCAGCACCACTGATTTTACAAAATTCTGCCCTGTGGATATACTTTTGGGCTATTAAATTTTTCTCAAGCAACTGTTTTTACACGCTCTTAGGATAATGCCTTCCCCATTTCACCAGAGTATTCATTTCCCGTGAATGGAGAGGGTCAGCAAAAATGATATGCATTGACAACTGAAAAGAACCTATTGCCTGAGCTGGAGGACAAATTTTTGAGATCACTGACATATGATATTGAGTGGAAATCATCACTTATCACCTCAATTTGGACCACAACTTCCCCCCAATGCAATGAAACATAGACAGTTCCCACGGTGAGAAACCAAGTTGTAAGAGGTGTAGATGCCTCCAGAGAGGTTTCATCAGCAAAGTCCATAACTTGAATCAGGCAACAAACATGCTAGTTGTGAGGCAAAAAATTGAAAGTGGAGAGTCTGCATTGGATTTGATCAAGATACGAGGAAAAAGAATAGAAAGTAGAGAGTGCATCGATAATTGAAAAGGTCCAAAGGAAAGAACAATTTCCCTTTTACCCAATATTGACAAGTCTTAGATGTCAAAGGATGACAGTCGTTCATCAGCCTCATGGATGCATATAATTACAATCAGTTACAAATACATCCCATAGATTGAGAAACAACATTGTCTATTATTGAACAAGGCATCAATGATTACAAAATGATGTCTATTGGCATGTAAATGCGATACCAGAACTCCTAGAGTCTAATCAATCTATGTTTACTAGAAAATTGGAAAAAACCAATTAATGTGTACATCAACATTATACTAGCATCACAGGACACGTCTCCCACCTGCACAGACTTTTCAGATTCTCAAAAAATACATAATAGGCCTAAATCCTACTGAAGCATCATGGCAGTGACCTTAAGAAAGTTCTTGGAACATCTTCGAGGGCCTGAATGCAAATACTGACAGTGCTGTTAAGCGAGTCAACTTGTGTGAAAGAAGTGTTGATTGATCGACATGCGGTATATAACCAGTTTATATTCTGAGGTCTAGAGGGTCTGGACATCATCAAGACATGAAAAAGTACCTCACTTCGACATTGATTCTCTTTAAGCCCGGCAAAGGGAATACCTCTAATCTTGTTTCTGCCTATCATTGAAGTCTCAATTAGTTTAGCCCTTTACATGAAAATACAAAGACATGTTGTGTAGGATGCAACGAACAAGAATGAAACTTGAGAAGAAACGGAGAGAAAAAGAGAAGAAAGGAGAGGGAATCCAAAGAAATTATAGGGAGAGAGATGAGCTTATTCAATATCCAAGTCTAATTATTACCATACATAAACCCTCTTTATATAGGTTTCAAGTAAACTAATTTAAGTAGGAAACATCTAATAAAATTCTAATTAAAGTCAAACTAGATGATTATAATAAACTTAAATAAGCTAACATAAATCACAATATAGTTATTCATAATATATTAAGGATGTCTATTATTCTTATACTCATTCCCTATCATTTCTCTTGGACTTGGAGAATTGACTATGACGAGGTAGATTGCAACTTCTCATCCAAGGAAGCCAATATTTCTTCTAAAGCAATAACGATACTATCCATAAAATGACAACCAATTGTGAAACTTATCCTCAATAATATCATCTAAGGGGCGATCTTTCCTTCGAATCAAATATTGACAATAAACTCCAAATAGCAAAAATCTATACAACTTATCCACAAAAACCAGCACTAAATCCATGTAACGAAGCACGATGCACTAGCAAGGTAGGCTAGCCCATAGAAACAAATGATTGTAACATTGTAGGCTCAAATGAGCCCCATTAAGGAAACAATCCTACTATATTGAAAACATAATATTCATTCAAGTGTGATAGTCAATCAATTAAAGGAGCATGAACTTCATGTGATTGATTAAGAAACATTTTCTAAACATGTGTAGGATAGCGTGGTAAAGAAACATAAATTAAAACATAAAAAATCCCCATTTAAGTATCTATGCCTACCATGCACATTTAAACCAAGCGCATAACTTTCATTTATTTTATTTATAATACTTTCAATTTAATCTCATCATGAAAATGAGGAATAGGGACAATAGATGTTGGAGCCGAAACTATATGATGGTAATTAGTAGGCAATACTAATGTCAATAGGAAAAGTATACAAATGAACAATTGCATGGAAAAACGTGGCAACTCAAAAGTATCATTCTATTGAGATGATGCCAGAACAAAGTTAAAGTCACAAACAGTAAGCTATAACAATTTTGGCACCAACTCAAGAACATGTAAAATGTCTAGTTTAGGTGGCAACTATTCAAGTAATTCCTCAACCATGTCATTGTTAATTGTGCCTATTAAATGTGTGATCACGAGAGGGGACACAATACAATGCTCAAAACTCTCATCCTCACTATTAGAACATTTTATAGGATCATAAAATAAGAATCTTTGTTCTTTACGTACTGGTGTATCCAAAATCAGTTTCTTGACGGGAATATGACGTGGACGCGAAGTTTTTATATGTTTGTCATCGTGATAATGAGAACACGTGTTTGTTAGTAGATAGTGAAGAGTTGGGCACGTTAACATAATTAGTGAAACTTGGCTTATTAGTAACCTTAGAAGATGTTTGTTGAGTTGATTCAGGACGAATAGCCCGATGTGACTCACTACTAGTCGAAGAAAACAAGCTAGGATGATACTATTGACATTCTTGTGGCAAAGGAGGCCCACGTCTCTTGCAAAAATAGACAAAATGTTCATATTGTAATGCCTAGTAGCAAGCTTCTCCTAAGGACTTTGGCAAAAATATAAATGACATGACACTTAAGCTCAGAAATCAACCCATTTACGAATCTAGAACTTATGACATGATGAATTTTATAAATATCACAACTATTTAATATCTCCTCGAAGTGGGCCATATATTTGCTAACGGAGGACCTACCTTGACTACAATGAAAAACATTTAGTCTAGCAACTAGTTCGAGAATAGGTGGGTGCATATTCGTCAATTAGAATTTATTTCAGCCATCCCAAGAAGTTTTAGGTTTCTAACTTAGACGATCAATGTTATGCAATACCTATTGCCAATAATACCTGGCAGACCCTATGAGTAGCATACTAACAAGACATACATCGAAAGTCGTTCAAGTTATGCAATTGAAAGTATTATCCAAGAATATCAAACCAATCAAGAAATGTCTTAGGATCAGGAGTACCATCAAAGTTTCGTAGTCCTAAGTCAACTTTCCTAGTAGTATAATCAATGTCCTCAACATAGTTTATAGAATGGAGCCGATAATCTAAGAAACACGAATTCGAATACGTAATTCAAATACAATATGATACGAATATACAAATACAACTTTTTTACGAAAAATTAAAATACAGTAATACGTGTGTATATGATATATATGTCTGACTCATTGATTTTTGGATAAACAGTACGGATGAATAGTGCATGCACGTGAACATTAATTTTGTTGAAGAATTTGAAAAGTTTTAACGTGTCATGAACATTTAGGTTAGAGGAAAGAGTAAGCTCTGGTACCAAAATGATGTAGGATGCAACGTACAAGAAGAGACTTGAGAAGAAAGGAGAAGGAATCCAAAGAAATTACAAGAAAAAAATGACTTTATTCAATAATCAAGTCTAACAATTGCAATGTTTTGTGGTGTGATCCAAATTCAATGTGATTTGGTATTTGGTTGATTAGAGGAAGTCTAAGATACTTGGGTCGGTAGAGTCATAAGTTGTGGAGATCAAATTTCAATGATAATTAGGAGTTTGGCATGAAAGAGGACTCTTGGATGGCTAAAGGCATATTTTGGAACATCAAACCAGAGAGACAGGTGCCACAGTGCTAAGGAGAGGCGCCGCAGTGCCAAGAGGAAGAAAAAAGGCAGAAACCCCAGCGCCACGCCCATGTTGGGGGAAAAATTAATGGGAGGTGCGGTGCTCGGTTACGTAATGTTTTCCCTTTTTTTCCCGTTTTCCCGAATTTTTGGACTTCTTCTCTATCTTGGACTCCAATAAGAGGTTTTATATATATAGCCACATTGTATCTTCATATTGTAACATTCTTATAATATTTTCTACACATTCAACAACATATTGAGAGATTGAGAGCTTAAATTTCAATTGAGATTGTTGAAATCTTGATATTGTAAATATAAAACTATTGATTATAATAGATTGTTCTCATCTGCCCGTGGTTTTCTCCCGAATTGAGTTTCCACGTAAATTCTTATGTTCTTGTTTTCTTTTTCATTATTTCATTATTGTCATTATGTTGCGATCTGTTTCATAACACAATGTATTAACCCTTTTTTATACCGTTCAAATAACCTAATTTAAATAGAAAATATCTAATAAAATCTTAGAAAATCTATAAAATTAAATCCCAATTTAAGTCAAAGTAGAAGACTATAATAAAATAAAATAATCTAACATAAATCAACTATTTTTATTCTTAATATAATCTTTATTATTCTTATTCCCATTTCCCATCTCATATCCAACCATCGAGATGTTATAATCAAAATTTGAGGTCCATAAGTGTCACATAACTTCAATTTTTCTAGCAATTCTCGAATTTTGTAATAAAAGTTGCAAGTTAGCAAAAATCAATACTCATGAAGTTTCATACTTGTGTCTTCTCCAAAGACAATAAGGGTCCGTTCGATTGTAAGAATGAAATTTGGGT